TGAACATCAGCAGGAGAGGACTCTTTAAAGTAGAGACACTACATACTGATATACACCTGAACATCAGCAGGAGAGGACTCTTTAAAGTAGAGACACTACATACTGATATATACTTGAACATCAGCAGGAGAGGACTCTTTAAAGTAGAGACACCACATACTGATATGCCTCTTGTAGGGCAGCACGGTCGTACAGCTAACCTTTGTTATGTTTCTGCAGAACATTTGATCAGATACAAGCAGGTTTTGTTGAGAGGCTTTTTACCCAGTGAAGCGTGGGAGTGGAGATCAGAGATAAGAGAAAAGAGAGGACGGAGAATGAGTCGTTCTGATGGAGGCCATCTTGATACGGACCCGTTCTCACTGCAGAGAAACAGAACCCCCCCACCTCTGACTCGCTTCTGTAAAATGTATGAAAGCGAGATCCAAGTGTTGAAATGGAAATGTGATTCAAATCTTAAACCCCAGGCTCCTCCAACAATGCAACATAAAATATATATAATATACAGTATACACGGACATTTCACTCCTAATGACTCATTTAATGCCAAATTGGGAAATGTTTTCGTTGCAGCAGAATGAAAAACAAGTTTTGCTCATAATTAGAAACAAAAAAGCAGTAGAACATTTATAATATACAATATAAACATCTCAAAATATCAGATAAAACTGAGCTAAAAGAGTGAAAGTGTAACAGAAGATAAACAATGTAAATTGGATATAACTGTGAAATGTACAAACACCGATGGGGTTTTCTAATGTCCTGGAAATGTGACACTGGGGAGGAGGAGAGACTTTAGAGACGCATGCATTCTCTGCAACATTTAGCTTATTGTATTCAGAGGTGGGAAGTCGTGAGGTACAAATACTTCATTACTGTACTTAAGTAGATTTTTCTGGTATCTTTTTTTTGTATAATTTGATTTTTACAGGATGAGTAGGGGAGGGGTATCATTTACTTACATTCAAGATTTCAACATGACGCCAAAAAATACTTAAAGGTCCCATGTCATGGCCATTTCTACTGATCATAATTCCATTGTTGAGGTCTACTCGAATAGATTTACATTGTTCAATGTTCCAAACTCACATTGGTTTCTCATGCAGTATCTCTGTATAGTATGTGTATTCACTCTCTGTCCTAAACGGCTTGTTGGAGCTCCTGGCCTGCCCTCCCTCCCTGCGAGCCCGCAGTGTGGCTCTGATTGGTCCAGCTCGCCCACTCCTGTTCTGATGAGTCCACCACCGTACAGCG